GTGTTCAAAGGAGGGCAACAAAGCTGGTGAGGGGTCTGGAACACAGGCCATATGAGGAGAGGCTGAAGGAGCTGGGAATGTTCAGCCTGGAGAAGAGGAGGCTCAGGGGAGACCTCATTGCTCTCTATAACTTCCTGAAGGGAGGTTGTAGTGAGCTGGGGGTCGGCCTCTTCTCTCGTGTCATCAGTGATAGGACCAGAGGGAATGGCTTCAAGCTACGGCAGGGGAGATTCAGGCTGGACATGAGGAAGTATTACTTCTCAGAAAGGGTGGTCAGGCACTGGAATGGACTGCCCAGGGAGGTGGTGGAGTCACCGAGCCTGGGGGTGTTCAAGGAAAGGCTGGATGTTGTGTTGAGGGACATGGTTTAGTGGGAGCTGTTGGTAATAGGTGAACGGTTGGACTGGGTGATCTTTTAGGTCTTTTCCAACCTTGGTGATTCTATGATTCTACATGAAGTGAAACATGCTGGAACCTCACACAGCATAATTATGTATGCTGGCGTTCCTAGAACACTGATGGACTTCTTACTGATTTCATTCTGCAGTTACTACTATACAGTCAGTGTATAACAGGAAAACCACCGTTACTCTCTACATAAAGGAACTGCTTCCTTACTGTGCTAGAGGAAAAAAGCACTGTTTTCTCCTATTTTACATTATACAATGAACACCACATGTTTGGTTAGTGTCAATGAGCTCACTTCTACTTTTGTAGAGTCAGAGAATGCCTATTTACCCCACCTACTGACAGGGTAACATTATCTGATTTTACTCTATAGGATCAAATCCTTTATCAGTGTAATCCAGCACCAAGGCTCTCGCAGCGGTTAGCATTCAGCATTGGAACTTCGTGGTGCCACATTTAGGGAACTGCCTTCCCAGTGCAGTGTTCTGATTGTGAAAGGACAGCGGGATGCTTTTCCTACTGCCTCTTAGTCAGGATTTGTGTTTGGAGTGACACACTGACTCCTTTGGTGCTATGAGAACACTCTGATGTTGCAGGTTGGTTTGGGCTCCTGGTGCAATGCCCTGCTGACCGCTGGACACATCCCCCTGCACTGGGGAGGAGACTCTTGCAAGGCTGCCTCTTAAACTCACACCTCTGTTAACTAACACTTCATTCTGTACTTCAGACAGACCAGAGCTGTGCCCCAGCAGCACTTTCTGACTTCTCTCAGCTTCCTCTGATGAAAGTCTCAATCTGGTTTATGAATTCCACACCTGAAGGCACAGCTCAAGCAGTTAAAACCATAATCAGCGCTGATGTATCTACATTTCTCTCTACCACTGCAGTTTTCAGTTCTGTTTGAATTCTCACTCCTTCAGATGAAAGAAACATCCTGGCAGCCTCTCAGTGGCTGCTGCCATGTCACACAGTTTCCTGCTGCTGCCCTCCCAAGCACAGTGCTCCTCTACCTGATTCTGGGCTCTGATGGCTGCAAAATGTGGATTTATATAAAATTGCAGGCCTGAAAGCATTCAGTCTCTGTTTCAACTTACCCTGGAGGCACTGCCCTGTAAAGTCAGTTTCCCAGTCTGGCTCCATTGACGTGGAACTTTCCTGGGAGCCCTCTGAGGGCAGGGCCTGCTCAGTGCTGCCACAGAGAGCAGAGCTCAGCGCTGCCCTCCACTCCCTGTGAGGAGCTGCAGCCGCCACCAGGCCTCCCCTCAGCTCCTCTGATCCGAGCACCTCAGCCACTCTTCAACCACCCTGCCCTCCTGCCTTTCCTCCATCTTTGCAACCTTTACCACATGCACACTAATAGCTTTACGTCCTCACATCGTGGCCCCAAAGCTGCACTCAGTGCTGGAGGTGAGGCTGCACAGCACAGCACGACAACCCCTCAGCTGGCACTGCTGGGCCCGATGCACTCCAACTTATGTTTACTCTGTTAACTCAGCCCTCTTGCAATGCCTTGGTGAAGCCTGACGACTCCTGCACCAGTAGCAGTTATAATTTACCCCTAAGCAGCATTACTCCCTAAGCATTTACTTACATTAAGCACCATTTACTCCCTAAGCTAACCACATGCCCACAGAACACCACTTTTCAACACTGCAGAGCACGATGAGAAAAGAAGGGCACACAAACACACACCACACTGCTTTCTTGTCATCATAAATATCTTTATTGTGAAAAATACCATAAAATAATTCCCACCGTTCTAGAAAAAACAGTTCTTGCTTTTTAGATTTATGATTTAATATAAAGACGTAATTTGAGACATTTGATAAATCTCCAGCTAACTTCACTTATCCTTCTTAAAGCAAAACAAAATTTGCAGAGGGCAAAGAAAAAATTCTCCCATTTTTCTTTTTCTTTTTTTTTTTTTTTTTTTAATGGACAAGAGTGTGTATTACAGAGCAAACAAACCATACCTTACAGTAAGGCACTTTTAAATACAACCAACCTGCTACGCTATACTGGCTGATGCCCAGCAAAGCTCCTACAAATCACAGCCCAAAACAAAAGAGTAATTCTCATTCCAAGCACCGGGCTGGAGGCTGAAATAACAAGCTTTTGCTCTTATTTATTTATTAAGCTAACAGGTTTTCTGCCACAAGTTCAAGCTCTTGTGTTTATAATTCACTCTGCATCCAGTTTAATACTGATTTACAGCACATCAGTACTAAGCATACCTCAAAGCAAGATAAGCCACGGCTCCCCTCCTTCATTTTAAAACAAGTTGGGAAGTGGTTTAAACAAACCGCAAGACAGAATTCAACACAAATAGTGTGCATCTCCACAGAGGCCCATTGCTCCAATGATGCTTCATGAACATCTCAGGCTTCACAAACCACCGAGACTTATTTCAGTGTTCAGTTACTGAACACTATTGCACTACAGACACCCATCATAAACAAAAAGGTGAACTGGGCTTCCTCGTACACAGCGCGCCATCAGCGCTCAGTGCGGTGCCACCACTCGTTTGCTGAAGTCACATCAGGAACTGCATCGCTGCATCTGAAAATCCTTGAAACGCAACAGCTTCTCCTTTCTTTCTAGGCACAATTTTGTCTTTCTCTGTTGTCAGAGGCAGCTTAGAGCTCACGGCCAGCTTGCTTAGCAGTGCTGGTGCTAACGTGTGCGTGAGCAGCACCTGCTTGGTACCAGAAAGCCTCATTCTCCATTGTCATCTTTTTTTCCTCATCTTTCAAGACACTGTTTTTCACAAGAGATATCTACATGAACAGCATTCAAGCATTAATCATCTCCCACTGACTGGATTCAAGCTTTCCCCTGAAAAAAAAATAAGCAATTTTCCCTTCGCAACTCATTGTCAGAATTAAATGTAGTCCTTTCTGCTCCTGACTGCTTCCACCCTACAGAAGCATCCGTCGCATTAGAGAAAGGAATACGCACAGCTCTAATATCAATCCCTTTTATGAACAGTTTACCTATGAGGGACCACCTTATTCCTTTCCAAAAAAAGAAGAAAATTGAAAAGGAAAATATCAGCTACAGCTTTTAAAACAGAGGAGGAAGAATGATAAGAACAAAAAGCTGCACGAAGGCAGTCCTTCCACATGTCACATTTGTAGCATTTCTCCAGCACGCAGAGTGACTGGCTGTGGTATTTACTGTGTCCTGCAGCTGAACACAGTTCTAACTACAAAATCACCACATGTTGCTTACACTGCTCATTAAGGAGTATTTAAACCAACCCTCCTGCAGCAAGGTGGTACAGAACTGCTGATGCCAGGCAGGGGCCAGCACACAACCACACAGCTGCACACCATGAGCCCTCAGCTCTACTGCACCACAGCAAGGGGTGCATCATCCAGGGCCTGTGGCTCAGAACTGGATTCACCTTCTGCTCACAGCAAGCAAAAACATGCAGGACAGCTGCCTGGACCAGCTGGCATCACAGGACAGCATCTGGACAGTGAGCTTCTATGCCTGGGCCCCAGATGGTCCAACAGGAGCCTCACTGACCTCGCAAGGACATGAGGAACATCCTGAGCTGCTACTGAATTTAAACAGAAACACTTCAGATGTGTCAAAAAGCAGAAGCCAAACTTCTAGGAAGTCATTCAACTTGAACATATCAGATGCTGAACTTTAATAGGATGCTGCAGTGCTTTTGTACCATCAATTATTGGAAATCCCCCCCAAATACACACACACACACACTCTTCATCAGCCAGAAGATAAATTTCTGCTGACCAAACACTGGCCTTTAAACTGCTGCTGAAAAAACACACTTTCCAAAGCCACAGTTCGGTTTGTAAAGTACTTGAGGCAGCAGAAAAGGGCTGTGCTTCAAAAGCAACTGCACTTACAGTAATTAAAGAAATATACGCATACGCTTTCAGATAGAAGATTGCATTTGCTTTGACTGAGGCTGCTCTTGCTCTTAAATGCCACAAACTGAAGTCAGAGAAGATCCCTATTGATTGATTGTAGTTTTCCAGTTAAAATTCAAGTCTGTCAATTAAAGAGTGGTAATTTTTTGCATTCTAAGAACCCAACTGCTGGTGAAACTCATCAGTAATTTCAACATATTCAGTTAGAGAATGACAAGACCACCTCACCTGCAGTAACTGCAGCCCTAGGAATGCCTCCCATCTCACACAGTTCCATATTGTTTCACCCACCAGACTATACCACACTTCTGGCCAATGCAAAGTCAGCCTGGTACACAGGCAGCTGTTTTTGCAGCACTGTGGCTGTTACACAAAACAGAGAGTTGCTTCAAACTACTTCAGCATTAATTCATTGTGGCACCACCCGACAGAAAGGAAGCTGTATCACATGGGGAAGGCAACAGCTCGCATTTTATTCCTGCAGTTCACATACAGTCACCTCACAACCTGTGCTGGCTCAGAATTTACGTACAGAGAAGTAACAAACTGCTGTAGAGGTGGGAATGTCACATCGTGCTGCCTTGCCCAGATCTCAACTAAATACTTGGTTAAAGTGCAAACTCCTCAAAAATGATGCAATGATGCTTAAACATTCAGAATCACAACAACAGTCTCCTGAAAAGCAAAAGGTTTTTGTTTTCTGTTTTAAACTTTCATATTTGACAGTAGCGGCCAAGAAAATCACCCCAATTAATCCCAGGTTAATGAAGAAGGGTGAGCAGACATTTTCCAAATCCTTCCTGACAAAGTGATCCTTGTAAGAGATTGCTGGGGCTCAGCCAGTGCGCAGCCTCCTCCCCCTCCCTATGGCACTGCCACGGTGATACAACGGGTGGTCACGAGGGTTTCCTTTACAGAATACTGAGAAATGGATCTTTCTGCTGAGCACAGTGACAAACAATTTGTTAACGCAGAGACTACTGTAACTACCCTTCCCACATTTATTAGGCCCCGACTCAAAAAAATATTTACATGCATTTTTACCTGTAAGCATATACTTGAGTCCTAAAGCTGCATTTAAGTGTTGTCCTAATTAGCCTTTTATTGTTTATTCCTATGGATGGAAAAAACACATCTCCTGTATAACCACAACAAATACATAGGCAGTAACAAAACCCTTATTCATTCAACCTCCCCCCACCAGTATAAGCTTGTCAAGCTCACCATGAATTTGCTTCAAATACTAAAAGAAAGAAGTAGCTTTCTTCTAGTGCAGTAAGACTGGGTTAAGGACAACATTAGAAATTAAGATTTTGGGTCTTGAACTGAGAGAGTTTTTATTTTTTTGAACAAATTAAGTAAAAAACAGCAGCAGCCACCTGGAACAGTCCTGGCTCTAACTGAAGTGAAATTTGAATGTAAATGGTCCTCCTCCAGAACCGAAGGGGTTGAATCCTTGCCACGTGTTCCAGTTCCTGTGGAAGGGGTTGCCCCCACCCTGCTGACTCTCTGCATCCAGGGGGTCCTCTCCTGCGTCAAACTTTCGTCTCATTTCTGAAGGAAACAAAACCAAAGTGAAAGGAAGGCACTGTAGTGATGGCAGCAACACAAAGCATCTCTGATGATCAATCAGCGACCAGAATCCCTTTACTTGCCCAGTGGAGTTGACATCAGAAACAGTGTCAAGGAGAAACCAGATGAACGTGCTCTGAAGGAGGTAACATTACCAAATATTTCCAGAGTAGAAAACCTCTGGTTTATATACGTAATTATAAACAAAGATTGCATTAGCACAGAAAAAAGCTTTCTACTAACCATAAGAGTTTGTAATGCAGTTCACTCTTAGACCTCTCCTCTGAAATTCTGAGCCCATCTACCCAACTATCACTTAGACAGTCTGCTTAGAAAAGCTGAAGATGAAACAAGAGTCTCAGACATCCACCATTTTATGTGCTTCTCTTTCCAGTAACCATACAGGGAAAACTTTAGAGACACAAACCTAAGGGATGGCTTTGGTTGAGCAATTTTTTTTACTTGTTTAGAAAACAAGAGGAGGAGAAAAGTGAGCTAAGATAACTACACACTGCCTCATTTTCTAATACACTATTTAGATTTCACAGCCCACCCCCCACCAGCTCTTGGTAGGGTGGACACCAGATCTCATGATCTCCACACCACAGAGTCACTGTATTCCCCACCTTCCCACCCTCAGGACCTGCCAGACTTGATCAAAATTTAGTTTGTATCAGGAAAAGATACATTTGAAACAATCATTTTTTAAGTTCAATTTAAGCAAAAGTCACTAAAACACAATAAATAATTCTAGGAATTTTATCTTCACACAGTGGACTGGATGCAAGTCTGAGCATACTGCTTTCTCAAGCAGGTCAAGAGAGAACAGAAAAGGGAAGCTGTAATGTTTGTTATAACTTACACTTGCTGCATTTTTACAGTGTCATAAAAAAAGGAATAAAAAAGTGAAGCCACTGTGTAGTACAATCATTACCTGGGTCAGTAAGGACTTCCTTAGCAGCTGCTATATCAATGAACTTTTTCTCTGCTTTCTTCTTTTCTTCCTCACTCTGGAAGTTGTCAGGGTGCCACTGGGATGCCAGCTTTCTGTAAGCTTTTATGATTTCTTGCTTTCTAGCATTTCTGGATAGATAAAATTACAGGTAACTTAGAAGTCTTCTAACTGATCCTACAACACAATACTAAATCTACAGGCTTGTTTTAAACACTGGAACAGTAATTAAAGGCATTGGGAAAATGATGAGAGGCTACTTAATCTTCTGAATATGAAACCATAGATTTACAGGAACAGAGGTAGCAGAATGCAACCTTAAAGAGAGTCATCCTCCCTTTCTCTGGAAGCATTCAAGGCCAGGCCAGATGAGACTGTGAGCAACCTGGTCTAGAGGGAGGCATCCCTGCCTAGACGTGGGATTTTGGAACTAGATGATCCCACAGGTCCCTTTCAATCCAAACCATTCTATGATTCTGGGTTTCCTTTACCATCCTAAATTTACTCTTTGGAAAGAGGCAATTGTAAATCTTCATACACAGTAAAGTTCCCACTCTGAAGAATTTACAGTAAGGTGAGCCATAAAAAACATAAGTAGAAACTGGACATTTGTTTGGTTGTCATTAAAAAGAGAAGCCATTAGTTTTTTCCTAGATTAGTGGCAGAAATGTTTTAGATTCCACTTTTACTCAGTCTTTTCAAACCCTCCCAATCCACTGTAATATCTGCCACAATTTTATTTTTTATTGCTTTCAGTAATTCTTTCCAGTCTTTATTTTCTTTCCAATTCATTCACCATATATGTGATCACACCTACGAAGGATTTTTTGCCAAAGGACTCATTTCCTTCTTGCCCACTGGTAGTCACTTTCCTTTCTTTCTAAAAGAACTTTAAACAAGTACTACTGAAGTACTTAGCACTTAGCCCATATAGTACAGCAGGGAAGTGAAAGCAATAAGACAAAAACTAAGCTGCAGCAGAACAAAGGCAAACCATCAGCTCCAGATAAGCCAGTTTAATCAATCAAATGTAACGTCATCTCCTCAAATATTAATGCCTCACCTTTTTACTCCTAAAATTTTATAGTAGTCTCTCTTCTGTGATTGCTTCAACATCCTCTGAGCTCTTTCCAGCCCCTCTCGAACCTGCTGGTCATTTTCACTATTGGCTTGAGCCGTTTCGTAGTCTTTAATAGCTTTGAAAAGAAAGTGAAGGAAGCAAGTTATGTAACTTCTCACAAACCTTGATTTAAACAACTCAATCACTTTCCAAAACTGAAGTTTTGCTACTGCAGTTTATAAACAGTGGAACTTCAACTTGCCAAATATGTTTCTTTAAATTAGGCAACAGAGAAGACAATGTATAACTTAGGTAAGTTTCTTTAGCTTCACCATATTTTTGGGGAAGAGAGAAAAGGTTATTAACAGCTGGTCAGAACACTCTCTAGATATGAGAACACATGAACTGCCAGGCTTGGGATGTAACTGCAATCAAGAAGTGAGTTTCAGTGACTAGAAACAGAAAAGCCAGCTGCACAGCAGTAGTCTCACACATTGAGGGATGCATTATACAGAATCTTACTATTCCTTCTTCTCCACCTTGTGCAGTCAGGCACTACAGTGGCTTCTTCCTCTACCAGCAATAAAGACTTTAGATTAACAGCAAGTTTACCTATGCAAACACCACAATTATAACCATTAGCTGTATTTCACTATTTTCTTTTTATGCCTCAGTATAAAAATATTGCTGCAGACAGCCATACTTTAAGCTCTGCGTGTTTTGTCCCCCACACCCAAGGGGCAGGCTCTCACTTTTATTTCAAGAGTTACATCTGCCAGGAACAAAAGCATGAGAGGTGCTGTAATGCATTTCTGAGTTCTGCAGAGACCTCATTTCTTCCTCTTTTTATTTTTATGTAAACCACATTATTATTTTAAAGTGGTAACTGAAAGCTTAAAACACCAATCTTTGCTATCAGCATTTATTGAGGGAAGCTGCTGTTGAAGCCTCTAATGAAGCTATTCTTCTTTCACTGTTAAAATCCTCACAGTCTCATTTGCAGATCCAAGTCTCCTAGGTTTCTCAAGTTAGACAAAGTACTTGCATCACATTATTTCCAAGCAGCTGCTATTTCTCAGCAGGTGTTACGTTTGTTTTTCACTGTTTCTGAGCAAGACAGCAGGAAGTGCTAATGAATTTGTACTACTCAGACATCTGATATCACTGCAATCTTGTTTTGTTATTGAAAAAAATTTCAAGTACTTCCAGTACCCCAACAATTTCATCTGTTATTAGAAACTGAATTTCTATTCATTTTTATATCACCAAACATTCATTGCTTCAACAAAATATTTTGTTTTATGCTGTTTTGTTTTGTTTTTTTTTAATGATTTGTCCACTCGTTAAGAAAAAACCCTTTGCTGATCTGTGTGCCTAATTTACACTGATGAAACTGATAAAAATATACGCAAATGCAGGGATTTCATTATGCTGTTTTACCACCTCAATAACTTCAAGCACTAATGTACTTCATCTGCTTCACATCCAATCACACCATCCCCACAAATGTGGATCAGGTCATTCAGCTCTGCTGAGCACCACAGCATCTACAACATGCTCTACTGCTGGAAGCTGAGCTCCTTAAGGGTCAATGGTGTGCAACACAGTGGCTTTCTCTTTTTAAAAACTGACTCCCTTATTGCTGGTTGCAGACATTAAGAACATGAGAAGTTATGTTTTGCTGTGACGCATGCTGCTGAGATACAGCACACAAATTACATTATGCACTTCCTTTCCACTAGAAGACACTCCAGTTTTGCTGGTATTCTCCAGCATAGGACTGTTTCTCATTCAGACCTGAACCCCATCCAGCTACAGGGTGAGAGCTGGGAGCAGGTGCCTTTGAAGCAGGATGATAGATCTCTGATGGCAGAATAGCTGCTACAAAACCAAGAGACTTATTACCCATTCAAGGCATGTTGAGTGAGATATTTAATCAGCTCCTCTCAGTCACTACTTCTAAAAGCACTAATACCTCATGAGCTAACACAAGAATTATCACTGCTTCTTACAGGCCTGCTGCTTTACAGAACATCTTATCTTCCTTTCATCCGGTCCCGTAACACCAAGGGAACAATCAGCTTTGAGTATCCATTTCAATTTAAATATTTTAATCAAACCCAACACTCTGCTTTCAATGCAAGAGTCTTCATAATCTCTGAAGCAGCAACTACACCGTATTTCTAAACATCTCAGCTGTCTTCCCTTATCTTGCCTACACAAGACTAGCCATTATTCCATATGCAGAATTAATCTTCTAATCAAACACGAGTATCTGTAGATAACGTATGTCCACGTAAAATCTGTTAGAGGAGTAATTGCAGTAGCAATGCTCTTCTTGAAACAGGGACTGCCTCTTCGAGAGAAAGATTTCCTGAGCAATTTTGGAGCAGTGTGTGTTTTTTCCTCTTAGAAAAAACCGTGTGCTGGATACTTCACAGACAGACTCTTGTGCTTATAGGGTAAGCCACAAAAGGACTCATCGCACATCTGTCTTCACAGACAATCCCTGAATCCCGTATGATGACGAAGTAATTAGAACCTTTTAATGGGAATCAGAACGCAGCTATACATTCTGAAGTACATCTTGGACATTCAACAACAATCTCCTTCAAAGTTTTGAATTAGAAGTATTTTGAAATTTCCTGTCCTTAAACAGGAGATAGGTGCCTACAGCTTGAAGTTTTTCTTGAGGGAAGAAAGAGAATCAATCTACTACCTTAATATGAGACTACAATTTTAATTACTCCATACTGTTCCCCGAAGCAGAAAGGAAATAACCATCATTTTACAGCAGTTAAAAGTGAAGGATAAGTGAAGACACCTTCAAGCATATTAACATTAACGAACTAAACTGTTTATGAAGGCACTGTTGGAAAGAGGAGCATAACTGCAACCATCTGATTACTGTCAAGGGCAGAGGGAAGGCAAGGGATGCACTAATCAACAAGGATTTGGAGGAGTGCCATTCCACTTGAGCTTGGTGATCCCCAAGAGCCAGCCCAGTCCAAGTCTGGGTCCAGCCCAGGAAATAAGCTTTCTCATTTTAAGTCACACCTCTGCATAAAGGCCAGTTATTTTCAGAAACACTGCTGTATTCCACCTTCTCTTATAAGGAGCAAGGAGGCTTGCCAGCATCAGCAGAGAAGGAATGGCAAGCTTCTGAAGCACAAAGCCTACAGAGCTGATAATGACAACTACTTGAAGCTGTACAGCCCTCATTACACTTTGTTTTCAAGTACTTGAGTCAACGAGGCCTAAAAAAGTGAAGTAAAAAGCATATTTCATTTTTGAAGTTCACTTCAAGAGGTGAGAGCAATATCTTCTCTCAGTGATAATTTCTCAAAAAGACAAAAAAAAAAAAAAATCTGAGCATACCATTAATGAGAACAGTTGTCTCATCAATGTTTAAAATGAAGAGGGCTTTTTCTGTTCAGTTGTAAAGCTGACAACTCAGCATCAGAATACAGAAGAGGAAAGCTATTTTATAAGTATTAAAATGAATGGAACTAGTTTTCCAGCAGATTTAAAGACTACAAGTTTCTTTTGCTATCATATTTAACTGAAGCAATCCAAGGCTTCAAAAACTGTTACACGAATGAGCATAAGAGGACAGAACAGATAGATGGTGTAAGCCTCCTTAAGAGTGGCTTTGTGTGGAAATGAGACTTACTAAGCTACATGATGAATATTCATACAGTACATTAGCACGTAGTACCCTGAAAGATGCCACATTACCTAATGGAGACAATTACTCAGCCCCTCCACTGCGAGGTTGAATATGGAGCAAGTAACATTCCCATGGTACTCCGTCTAAAAGGAAGTGAGCTACAGCCAGTGGGTCCAGCACAACCCCAGCAGACATTTGCCACTTTGCCACTTCCCTGCTCTAGCGGTGATTTTTAGTCTCAATGCCTACAGAATATCTACAGAGCTGGGTGCAGGAAAAAATAAATAGTCATCACACAGCTTGTGTGCTCTTTGAATGGGAAGATTTCAAAGGGCATTTGCAACCAGTGCCACTTGGAAAATGAATACTGATAATGCTGTTCACGTAGGCAATTTTCAGCAGCAAGGACACCTGCTACAGAGTGGGGGAAAGTCCACATGAGGCAGCTGACTTCTGTTACCCTTTCCGTAAGCTATAAGGAAATCCAAAGAACTCAAATTCAACTCCATCTTCCTGAGCCACACAAAGAAGCAGAACTGTAAACTGGGATCTCCTCATGACATTTGCTTTTACTTGCAGACAACACCTTCACCATTCATCCAGTTCGTAGCACTACATAGTTGCTTCCTCACAGCTAGTGCTGAGAGATCCTTCAATCAGAGCCATATCAGCACAATTCCACCATCCTAACAAAGCAAGGCTCCACAGGAACCTCTTCCTACACATAAACAGGCATTTTGCCTCTTCAGCAGTTACACTAACACAGCTAGTCATTTCTCTCACAATGCATATGCACACCAGTAACAATTGCACTGGCGATTCATGCAATTTGGTTCTTCACAACATGTCGAGTTTCCAACAAAGCATCCCAAGGACATCCCGCAAAACATCTGTCAGCCCATTACCTTCCTCAGAACACCTGAAAATTCAGTCAAAAAAAGAAACTTTTTGGAGGCACTTCTTGGTATGTTTCTACATACAACCCCATGGTAAGGGCTGCCAGTCTGCAAGCTCAATGGAAAGCAAAGCCTATACACAAAATGCAGCCTCAAGCAAAACCAGCTTACTGCTCTTGGCAGCAGAAAGGAGATCTATGGTGGTGAAACAATGGCCAATACCTTCCTCTATGGTGAACACGTGGTAGGTAGGATACAGGAAAATCTCATTTCATGCTATCGTCCAAAAACATTGTAAGGAGCTCCCAGAATGGGTCTCTGTGACCCTAATCATAGTGATCTTTCATCTACGAATGCAATTGTCTAACAGTGCTGTTGAAATCAATGTTTGAGTCTGAATAAGCTGTATGCTCTCACAAAAGATCCCAAACGTAGCCCACTGTAGAAAGACAACTGTAGATAAAACAAGTGCATACCACTTGTACTAATCAAGACAAAATTAACAGCACGTACTTTCCTAGATCTACAACTGTGCTGCTTAAAGATAAACAACACAGTGCAGAATCAAAGCACATGTTAAAAAATTTTGAAATACTGACTGCAGAGATGTACAAGATGCATACAAGTGTACCTTCTTCATAAAGGTCTTCCAGCAAATAAGCTTCTGCTCTGTCTTTCAGAGCATTCACATTGGTTGGTTCCAGTTGCAGAACTTGTGTACAAACTTTTATGGCTTCTGTAGCCTGCTGATTCTGAAAACGAGAAAGGAAAAGAAGATAGATGGGTGGAGTTATGCTTTTTGCTTTTGAAGAAATTTGGAGAGAGAAGTGGAGGCAGAATTACCTTTGACAAACAGTGACAGATCCTTTCTTTGGCACGAGTAGCATAAACTGGGACATCTGGCTCAGTTTTCATTACAGAGTCGTATTTACTGATAGCATCTTCGTATCTGTTTTATAAAGCATAAGTAGTTACATTTCATACTATTAAGACTGCTGTAATTTATTTAAAATGCAATTTGGCTGCATTAGTCTTAAAGATGTGACGTAAGGCAACATTATGAAGAAAAATTTCAGCCATTTTAAGATTTATACTCCCATTCCCTTCAACAAGAGCAAGCACTGTGACCATCAGGTTTCTGCAGAAGACCATGACTGCCATTCCTCAGTGTGCACAAACAACAGTATCCTGATTTGCTTCCTGTCCAATATGTGCCTCTGCACTTGTGGTGGAAAAAGAAGAAAACCCTCCCTCTCTGATGTCTGAAATGGACCAAGTTTGGAGCCTTGCTGTGAGCACTGTCCTGTTTGCCTTTTGTAATACCAATAACCCCCTACTCCTCCTCTCCCCCCTCCCCCACCCTCCCCCCCCCTCCCAAAAAAAAAGCCAAACAACTGCAGCCAGCTTTAGTCAAGAAGTTTGTTTTCTCCCTACCTTCTCAGCAAGTCACAAAGCAAAACATTTCTGCTGTAAGGGTTTAAAGACATTCAAGTTCCACAGTTAATAAGAAACAGATTAAAACTCTCACCCAAAAACACAAGTGTGTGATTGAACTCATAGCTGCTACAAACTAGGAGGAATGCAAGCTCTCAGAAGAGTCCCTCAAAATGTGCTGATACTGGATCAAATAAAAAACTAGAATAAGAGCCCAAATGAACTGCTGAGTTAATGAAACTGTCCTCCATTGTGCTGACTTGCATTCCTGATGTACTTCCTTTTAAAAAGTCACTCTGAAAATGTTTAATCACTTGTTAGAGCTCCTTACAGTTGGATGTTGTGCACCTGGGAACATGTAAAACCAAAATGAAGCATGAACTAGAAGAACACAGTAGAACTGAACAGGATACATAAGAGAAACCTATGAACCAGTTCCACTTTAGCTACTGAGGCACTGCAGAATTACCTGTGTTTTTAGTCCAAAGATGAAGTCTTACAATACCTGAGAGTTGATAAATTTTATCCCTACCTTCACCTTTATGCCTGCTCCATGAAGTATGTAAAGAGAAGACAGTAGTATCAAAAAGAATTCAGAATTGACTACATGAATCAATGTAATTTGATTGTAATTTGATAGCTGTGCTCAGTTATCCACTTCAGCTAACAGATGCAAAAAGCAACACTTAATCAGCTCCTCAGTCGATAATTTGTTGACACCTCAGCACTCATTTTTTTCTTTTTTAATAGAATGAACACTTACCTGCCTTCTCTGATGAATTCCTCTGCTGACTCAATCTGCTTATTGAGTTTCTTTACTTGTTTATAAAGAGAGAAACATTGCTTATGGTCTTGGTCAAGCTTCAGACACTCCCGGACTTCACTTTTCACAAGAGAGAAGAAATATATTATGGAATTTAATCCGGATACACAATGCAGCATTTATAAACTGTCCAAACAAGAGTTTATTTCTCCATACAATCTTCCCCTTCATTCAAATATTTAATCATTTATAATAAGCATTTATCAAAGCTTAAGATCTGGTTATTAAAGAGAGGAAGTCCACTGTGGATTTCAAAGGACAAAAACAATGCTTCCCATGATCATTAGGTTAAGTAATACTAGCCACCAAAAAAAAAAATAAAAAAATCACCACAGAAGCAAGCTATATGCACCAGATTAAATATACTCTGGAAATGGGCCTCTAAGGCAAACAAGCCAGCTATTTGACATTTACTAAGTTGAATATACAAAAAAAGAATCTTTGACCAGCTGTAGAATCAATTTCTGTAAAGTTAATCAAGCAGTTTTTATCCACCAGCCCTGTCATACACTGCAAAGAAAAGAAAAAACCTCAAGTTTTTTTTCTAGTAACGCATCTGGCATCAAGAGCTTCCCAGAAGCCACTCGTATACAAAAAGATCACAGCATTTATACAGCTGAGCACAAGGAGAGTAACGTTAACAGTGTAGATCAGGCAAACACAGTTATCTGCAGGACTGCCTAGGGATGTATGGCAATGCCTTCAACTAAACAGGAATGAAAGGGTAAACAAAAGTCTGGCAGCTCGGGATCCGCTACATGGATAACATGGATACTCCTGTACATACATATATATATATATATATATATATATATATATATATATATATATATATATATACACAACATGGATACTCCTGTATGTGTATATATATATATATATATATATATATATATATATATATAATACACACACACACATATATATATATAAATAAATGTATATATATATTTTTTTTTAATTATTATTATTATTTATTTATTAACTCCATTTTTAAACCAGTAACTTTCATTTCCACTCCTGAAGATACAGATCTCATCCTATGACACATTTAGTACGTTTCTGTTTTCACTGAAAATAATTTAAAAATAATCTCCAACAAAGCAAGTTTAGAGAAACACTTTCTTCCAGGACAGAAAAATACAACAGCAGCAGAAAATGTAAGCAACTCTGACAGTTTTGCTCTGTGGCATCTAAACAAGATGCTAGGAAGAACTGATGGTTGATCTGACAAGAATAAACACGGAGTCTTCACAGTTCTTAGCTTCTGGAAAGGAGGTTTCTGTACCAGGTGCAGACCAGAGCTGCTGTACCATCCAAAAACCAGACACTGTAGCTATTTCACAGTTTATCGTGACTTTCATCGTTACATTTGGTTTCAGTTCTTACAATTACAGCAAACAATAAAATTACCTGAGTGATAATTCATGGTCCCCCAGCTGATAATATATTCTGCTGATTTTATAGAAGGCTTCAGTGTTATCACTCTTTAATTTGGCAGCAGCTTTCAAGTCACTAATCGCTTTGCTTGGCTCCCCTTCCTTTATATAACACTCAGCTCGAAGTTCTCGTAGGTCTGCATCCCAAACACAAACCTTGAGAAATCAAAATTAAAGCTTGACTTTAGTCCGTAACAGTTCACTTCTTTTCCTCCCCAACATCAGAAGAATCCCATTAAATTTCATTTTGTCAACTGCAATAGCATACGGTTCAAGTTGCATGCAGAGTGCACAAAATTAGCTTCTCTGCTTCCTGGTGGATGCTGTGATGCACCTGCCCAAATAGAGAACAAAGGCCTGAAATTTTTCTAAATGATTTAATGAGCTCACACAGGGAGATGAATTAAATCCACTGGCCCTGCTTAAACTGGGACAGTCTGCTGAGCCTCCAGGGAAGGATATCAGGATCATAAATCAATACAACTTCTCAAAAGAATGCAGGGAAACGAACAGCGAAGACCAAGCTGTCAGCTGTCCTTTAGAAAGAGGCCTGCAGGGAAACTTCAGCCACGCAAGACGTGACCTCAGTACCTCCACTGTAAAGATTTACACTGAATTAACCATGTCAAAGAAGGACAAAGATAATTACTTACAATACAATACGACAGGCAATTCCTTTTACCGGATTTCTTCTGGGTTATCATTTGCTTTATAAACCCTGGTTTTAGAGAACAAGAATTTTCTACTTCTCTATGCTCCCTCCCCACAAACATTTTGACAGTTTCTTCACCAAAAGCTCAAGTTGTAAACTCCAAATGAATGATTTTAACATGCGTGTAAAACAGCACAGCAGTCAACTGTCATTTAATATATTTCTATATGACACACCAGGTGCCTACAGACTGAATTACTCCACACAGACTATCAGGCTACTTTGATTGAGTGGGATTCAACAAACACATCTTAAGGAAAAGGCTGAGAATACAGGTAGCTATGTATGTTTTGAACTTTGTGATGCTATTGATCTTTTATTATTTTGTTTCTCAAGACAAGAGAAGTACTCACTTCTTAGTAACAAACTACCCTTTACCAAGTTTCGTATTCAGCACAAATTGCACTGTGTTATCGACAAAATAGAATTTAGATGAAAAACACGTCTCCTACATTTGCAAAATTTACTTAGAGAACAAGCTCCCTCAAGAATACTAACTTATAGAAAAATGGAGAATGATCAAGACAGCTGCCCACAACAGAAGTTTGGTTGAAGCTGTATCTTTACCCATAACCCATACCCATAACAATGATCTCTTTTAAAATACTGTTGCAGTCAATGCTCTACGCTCTCCAACTTCAGATTGGTCTCACTATGCTCAAAGTGAAGCCAATTACATCATTTATTTTCTCATCAGTGAAGAAGCTAAACCATAATGCACACAGATAGGAGTTCCTATTTCCTTTTTACTGTACCACAGAATCTTATGGGCTGAAAGGGACATGTAGAGATCACTGAGTCCAATCTCCCTGCTAAGCTGATTCCCAGCAAAAGGTTACTATCCCAGTGGACAGCACTATTTTACATAACACTTACTGCCAAGATTTCATCAAGAAGAGGAATTGCAGCTTCATAATCCTCTTGCTGGTATGCAGACAATGCTTGTGAATACAGGCGCTGAAGCTCATCGGATTTCGTCAGCTGAGTTTGGGCTTCTCTTTCCTCATTATTGCTGGGATTGGATTTGAGCTGAAAACATTAATATGAAGAGGGACTGAATTGCTTGCTCAGAAATCACTGTGTCCCTTTAATAATCATAACATAGAAAACTGATTAAAGCTGAAAATAAAGAGAGTTTTAAAATTCCACCAGAAGTGTTTCCAACTTTAAATTCCAGAGACAGACATTTTGAGCTTTGATACAAGACATCAGAAGTTCAAAAACTCTTAATTCTTCCTCTCACCCTGGCTTGATCACTCACCTTTGGACAAATTAATACACAACCAGAGATCTTTTACATCAGCCTTAGGAAGTCACAGTCCTCTTAATGGCAACAAAGTTAATCTTTCTGCAGTTAGTTATTAAATACAAGATTCCTCAGCATCAGTAGGAAGCATATCCATATAACAACCACATATCCCACTTTAAGCACAACAGGTAGAAACAACTGCAACATGACACAGATAGTATCACTGTGAGGCTGTGGTTCTTATTTTCCCAGAAAGACTGGCAACAGCAGCAAGGCTTCAGCTGGAGGGAGGGCTTACCAGGATCAGCTAGGAATTCAGGCACTTCACTTCATATGTGATTTTACTCAAGCCTAAGGTTTTGTTTATGAGTAGTTTCCTCCCTCCAACCAAGGAGTTGCATTTTCCTTGCATTCATTTATTTAGGCAGCTTTCTATTTGCAAAGAAGTAAACCAAACAGCTCTCACAGCAACTCTGCTTCTGGAACTGGAACAACAAATAAGGGCCAGGAAAAATCTCATCCATTCCCTTGCAAAGCCAGGAAGTCATATGTAAAATTAATACAGTTAGACAACAGCAGTAGCTTCACACTTACAGCTGATCATCATGATTTCCAGAGTTTTAGAGGGGGTGAATCAGTAGGACTTCAGATTTTTTTGGTTTTGTTTTTAAATCAAAACTTGCACTACTTCGTATTTTACACACAGAATGCCCATTGAAATCACCATATCCTCAAAGTCATCCTGTACTTTTTCCTCTCCTCCTGGATCTTCAAGTCTCCCCTTCCTTTTTTTTCCTGAATGCAAGTTCTTCAAATGCTCATACTCTGTGCTCAAGTCTCTAATGCAATTCAACATTAGCCCTCAGAACTTCTTCAACAGAATTCCCCTGGTTCTAACACTTTAGTACGTGAAAGGGAAAAGCCTCAGTGGAACATGAGAAGCTCGACCAGGTCTCACCTCTGTCTTAGATGCCTTACATAAAGTATTTCTGTACCTTATGAAGTTGTTTCATTTTACTTTGGCGGAAATCAAGTCGTACTTAGACCTGAAAGTACTCCTTTACACTGCCTCTCTGCAAGAACAGAGGAAGGCAATCAAAGAGTTCTGTCCTTTGTAGGTCAACTCTTAATACACGTTTCAAAAAGCTTTTCTCCTAGTTAGAAAAGAAATTGTGCTTATAAACCCTCACCAGCACGCATCCTCATTCTCTCCCAGCACTGGAGAATACAACAGAGGCAAATATCTACATCTGTGATTTTAAAAGTTCAAAGATTAGAAACCTCCTTTAAGTTCTGAATTCTTCAGTTCCATGACTGATCCAATTTTGTCCCTCAATTTCTCAGCATTATTCTTTTAAAAATTAAGAACTCTTTTCTACAAATAAGCTTTATCCATTACCTCACTCCTCAGACATGCTGTATGTTTTTTGTAAATTATTTGGACCAAACTACCAGTAGAATAGGAAAAGCAATGTTACAAGTCACACAGACAAATCAAACTGTATTAGAGATCATTTAAGTGAAGCATCCCAGATAATATGAGATAGTACAAACTGTCCAGTTAAAGCAAAGGAAAAAACCTCTCAAGCTATCATTCAAGTTAAGCCATTAAGCTTTAGTTTAATGCTCTCTATACGACAAAAATATACACTCATGGCTCTTAGTAATTACTTAGTGTACTAATACGTTGTCTTCATCAGTCATGTTAATTAAAACAAAAATAAGTCTCTTCATTAAGCACCCAGGGAAAGCAGGAAATAAAACAGTTGTTTGATACTCTAATTTTGGTTTATTTTCCAAGTTCCTTCTGTCCTTCTGCCCAGTGATCAGGCAACTATCACACTACTATTGATAACATAACATTTCAGTTATTCATCCTTTTCCTTTGGAATGGTGAAGCTGGGACAGACCAACTGCTTGCACTAAGCATGTAAGATTTCCTAGAAAGGAGTAAGGTATTAAAGAAATCTCACTTCAGCTGAGCTAATACACATCTAAGGCAAATCTAATAGTTCTCTGCATGCTCATCCTAAGCTGTGCTCTGCAAGCACACTGCTAGTGGTGAACACGTTCCAGAACACAGCCGCTGCTTTTCAGCACAGCATCCTTTGCTGTCTTTGATGGTTACTACATTTGGATTAGAATGCTTAGTTGCAGTTTAAGTTACAGCAACAAGCATTAGCCATCTGTTATAGCAGCTTACATTCAGTACCAAAAAGAAAAACAAACCCCAAAATTATAATTCCTTCAGAGAAAACAGAGGCCAGCATATGGGAATGGTTTTGTTATTGTAAGTAATTTTCTGTTGCAGATTTACCACTTATAGGTGTTGTGTTATTTTACTGTCTAATCTCAGTAAAGTGGAGAATCATCCCAGGGCAAAAAAAAAAAAAAAAAAAAAAACAACTCTCCCCCCACCCAGCTGAGAGACATTAAACAGAACAAAAGCATGAGCCACACGACTTTAAAGCAGAGCTTTAAATGCATTTACATGTGCATCTTCCAGCTCTCCACTGCTCATAAGGAAGCTGGCATATACAGCATTTCATCTCAAAGGCAAGACTCAAAACTTTGCTATACTACCATGCTGTATCCAGGACAGTGGAGAAAAACATACTAGGAATTCAATTCAAATTCAGCATTTTTCTTGCTTTTCATGCTTATGAATACACTGATAATGAAAGTAAATTGATGAGGCTTGTGAAAAATCACAGATCACCACAGTTAGAAAAGACCTCCAAGATCCCCCAGTTCAACCATTCACCTACCACCAATATTTCCCCATTAAACCACATCCCTTAGTACAATACCTAACATTTCTTGAACATCTCCAGAGACAGTGAGTCAACCACACTGGGCACACCATTCCAGTGCCTGACCACTTTCAGAACATATTCAACTTGAACCTCCCCTGGTGCAACTTGAGGCCATTCCCTCTTGTCCTGTCTCTAGTTATGAGGGAGAAGAAGCCGACCCCGACTTCATCACAACCTTCCTTCAGGTAGCTGCAGAGAGATATAAGAACTGCCCTGAGCCTCCACTTCTCCAGAGTGAACAATTCCTCAGCTGCACCCCATTACATGTGTGCTCCAGACCCCTCACAGCATTGCTGCCCTTCTCTGAACACACTCCAGGGCTTCAGTGTCTTTCTTGTAGCAAGGGGCCCAACAGTGAACAGAGAGCTCAAGGCACAACCTCACCAGAGCTGAGTACAGGACAATTATCACCCCCCTGTTCCTGCTGATTGGACTACTTTCATACAAGCCAGGATTCCACTGGTCTTCTTGGCTACCTGGACACATTGCTGGCTCTAATATTTAGCTGAGCATCAACCAACACCCCCAGGTCCATTTCTTTCACCACTCTTCCATCCACTCTGCCTCAAGCCTGTAGTGTTGCCTGGGGTTGCTGTGGTAGGGCACAGCACTTGGTCCTGTTGAACTTACATGTTTCAAAGAGGGCTGCAGGAATTTCTGTAGCTTATAAGAAATCAAGACACTGATGCATACAAGAACAGAGCACAAAGGAAAGCTCTGCACTGGCAGAGCGATATATTAGATAATACAGCCATGATATTAGACAGAAAAAAGAAAGTATTTCAATACATCCTTTACCCAGGAAGCTATAGATGATCATAGCAGCTGAGAGAAACATTCACGGTTAACGTAATGTAACATAAAGTTTAAGAGAACTCTGGATACTAAGCAAACTTGCATTTGGTAACTTACAGTGACATAAGATGGTCTCTTCCATCTACATCCAAAATGCTGACTGAAGTAAAGAAGTGCATTCTGCAACCACAGCCTTCACTAGATTAGAAAACAAACATCTGCAAACACACCATGCTCAGCCACTTAGTTTTGGCTGACATCTAGTGGAGCTGCAAGTGGAAACTTCAGTTTCCAGCTTTTAAATGCTCATGCAATTGTCTCCCTTGGAAGGGTACTTAGGAAATCTCAAATTGGAGTATTTATTGCAGCACAGTGCAACTGTGAACATCACAGTCAGTCCTAAAAAAAATAAAAAGAGGATTTGAAAGGAACGTGACAACCAGAGGATATAATTATTCCTTCTATTTTCACTCAAAAATCACATGCTTGAAGACAAATATTCCAGGGCTTTCACGAGCTGAGGCCTTAGTTTTGAGCACTGATGCACTCCCAAATTCACCCTATTGACAGCTATTATTTGGAAGCTACTAATCAGAACCAAATGAACTTGATATTAATGCATAGGAGCATTTAACCAAAATTGAGATTGGAGAAATAAATACTACTCATACACTGTAAGCAACAACTTCAAAATAAATAAATTCACCCAAGGACTTATGCTTTACCTCTGTTTCATCCTGGGCACTCTGCACACAAGAATTCGACCATTCTGTTGACATCCATTAAGAGTTTTATTACCCTCTAGATGTTAAATTTCCATTCTGACAGCTGAGTTAGAAGGAAAAAGCTACTTTTCTAAAGAGTAAAGAGGTGTTATCTGGTCTTGCTAGGCAAAAAATGCTTCCTGGTGCATGCTGTAACCTCATCAGCTCGGTGCATCCGTTGGCAAAAACGAAGAGTTCCTATAAACACAGTCTTCCTTAACATATCAAGGGATAAGTCTGAATCACTTCCTCTATCCAAAACCAAAGTGATTAACTTCAGCCAAAAGGGAAATGCAGGAAGGAAAAATGGGAAAAAACAAAACAAAACAAAAAACAACACCAACCTGTAAAACAATGGCACAAAAGCTGAGGTCTCAAAAGGCTCTATAGATGAAAGCAGTGCTCCCACCCTTCCCAGTCAGGCATTCCCACTGCCTGCCTTCACAATCCCACTAATGCCCTTAAAACAGCCAGTACTGTTTCAGGTAGAAGCATTTGAACAGAAGAACTGCTCTATCTGGCAACAATACAATTTTAAAGAGGTTTAGGGTCCTCACAAACTTTTCCCATGTACTATAAAACTGTAGAAAGAACTTCTCTCAAGAACAACTTCATCTGCTGAACTCTTCAGACAATCCTTTCAAGGAGCACAACTCTAAGAAAGAATGGAGGAAGGATAGGAAAGAAACTGATATTTCAGTATTTCCACTGGGATTTGACAGACTGAGGGAATATGCTATGAGAAAATAACATTTACAGGCAGTTCACATTACACCACTCGCAGCTTTTGGTACGTAGGGAAAGCAATACTGGCAACAGTGACTCAAGTGTCATACAAGGAAGTAGGAACTGCCTTCCTCCTACATGCCTGTCCTTGAGTAGCCCAAGTAAAATCACTCTCTTTACTTCCAAATACTGAGCTGGTTTCTCTAACTCAAAAGTGGGGAACATCTTAAGAGCTCATCCTCTGCCTTAACCCAAAAACAAATCACCATCACCAAAATCACACCTACTGTCAGCCAAGGGCATACAACCAAAATGATTGGCTTTATCTCAACAAAGCTCATCTCATCCACAAAATTTTCCTGGGGGGGAGGGGGGAAAATCATGGAAGCTAACTCTCACATTTACCTCCTCCTTAATCATTTTAGCAAGCAGATCATGTCCTCAGAACCACATACGTCACACAATGTCCTGAAAATCTCCATACTAAAGAAAGCAGATTATTTTTCTTCATATTAAGATGTTGAAACACAGCACTTTCTTCCCATCTTTACATGATATTCAACTTCCACAGGCTCAGTCATATGATCAGACTGCTGCATGGTTACTCTACGTGGTTACTGAGTTACAGTGACTGCTTGCAGACTTAGATGCATGACAAATGTGGGACAGCCAATGTCTCTCTGCAATTTAGATGCAGATCTGCATATCTACATTTGCTGATGTGTTACATACTTACTGAGAATGAGAGTAGCCTAGTTAGCAGCTATCCAGCCAAAGTGAAAGGTCAGAGAGCCATTTAGGCCCTTACCTACATTTACTCAGCCAAAAAGCAGACCAGAAATTATATACTCAGTTCAAACGTAAAATGTACAATTCTAGGAATCCAAGACCAAAACTGAATTCTAGCCTAAAAGCTATGGAGACCCCACTGGTACTTCTTTGGGTCATATCTGCACTAGTATAAGAAGGAAGTTTTACTTTGAGCAATGAATTACTTACTCCTTTTCAGTTCTTGACAACTGACTTGCAGTATGAGTCAAAAGTTTGAGTGACTACTGTTTAATTTTCCTCTGTTGCTTTAGCAACTAATTTGGAGAGTCTGGATGTCCAGGTCTTAAAATCACTTAGAAACCATTTAATCTCTAAAAAGTCTTCCACCACCTCTCCCTTTCTCACGTATACATAAATCAGTGTCACAGAGAAACAGAGTGTTAATGTTTCACAATACTGTGCTTTGATTTCCTCTCACTTTAAGATTAAACATTTTCATATTGAGAAGCAAGCACGTTGTCAGAACAAGAACTGAGAGAACAACCTGACCATATACCTGAAAGACTTAGAAGAAAGCAAGAGAAATCTCTCACTAGGCCTTCACGGAAGTATTTTACTTTGGAGTCAAGATACAATAGGATCTTCTCTATTGAATGAATAAAGAAACCTATTATAAAGGATTAATTCAATACCATGTTTTTCAGCTGAATGCAGTATGTTCAAGCAAAATATTCTTTTCAAAACATACCACTTAACATAATCACTAAGAAAGCACATAAGCAACACTGTTCAGAGAACCAAGGAAACTGGAACTAAGATTTTAGGACCAATATAGAATCTCACTCAATTACTGAGACGAAACTCTGTTCTACTTCTGCCTTGAAGCCCAACTGAAGTTGGAAACTACATGACTGAAGAAAAGCAGTTATGATTGTCTGGAGTTTCAGTTGGTTTGGAAAAAAGCAAGCTACTCCACAGCTGACTGGGAAAGCATTTCCATGTAATTTCTATGTTATGTCCATGTTACATGTTATTATGCAACAGTCCAGAAAGGAGTCACTGGAAAAAGATGCATACACACACTCAGAATCAACACTGACATCCCGTAAATGCTGTTGCAGTAACTATGGCCTCAGTTAATCAGAACTGGACCACATTCTCACACAGTGCAAACAGCAGGGCTGCACTGCAATTGGACGTGCAACTGTAGACCAAATGCTTGCTCCTTACTGAGCAAGCAGCAGCAGGAGCCCCTGCTACATGACTTTCAGGATAAGCTACTGCAGCTTTACTGCAAACACCAGCATCACCTGGCACATTCATTATCGTGATGGTTACAAAGCTGCCCTGCAAGTGTAAACTGTAACTGCTCTGTTTTCCACTTAAAGACTCACTAGAAAGATTCCATGTAGCATCTCTAATCTGCAGTACATAACTGCTTTCTCCATCACACACTTCAAAGAATGCCAGTATGACAGTATCAGTTACACCTGCAAATTCTATTTATGCTGGTATAAAGGACAGGCAAGCTGTTTAAACTAGCAAATGCTGAAGAATAAATGAATATAATAATTAATCCTATTTATTCATGTTCTTACAGTAATTTGATGCAACAGAGAGGGAAGCTTATTTTACATATTTCCCAAAGATGAAGTTGATTTTGTTCCAGGGATTATTTTTGCAGCATAAGGTTGCTATAACACAAAATATCCACTGAAATAAAAACTCACTCAAGTGAATAACAGCCAGCCAGACTTGTATGGAAACTCTGGGCACTTCCTGATCACAGAGAGACTGCTGTCAGCACTTTCATGAGGGATGCAGAACTCCTTTGCAAATGTGAAGAGATGCAGATGCGTGCCACTGAATTACCTGATTTTTAACATCAGTGACTGAACTAAGAGCCTAAGATCCTTTGGCAATCACTGGAAAGAGCCTGATCCATGAGGGCACCCAGTTATTTCCCACTATCACCTGATTATCATGAAGCATGTAACTGAATGCTGATTTACACTGAGTCACACATCACTAACCCTACATTTCTGGTTGAAGAAGACTGATCTCCAGTATAGATGCCATCAAGCAGAGATCACAAAGCATTAGGCACATATGCAAAAAAAAAAAAAAAAAAACCACCAAAAACCTCTTCAAAGTGCTGTGCTGGTTTCATCTTCTCTATTCCATCCCAACATTGGTCATTTATTCACACGATGCAGCTTAACTACAATACCCTTCAAGAACAAGGAAGACACAAACTTATGTATACATTCACATTTCTCTGAAACATCAGAGTTGAGATCTTGCTTTAGAAGCCAACATTAAAAGCTGGAAAGCAGTTTTTCCAATTCAGGACTCCAACTTACCACATTTTTAAAGTCATCTTCTGCTTCATCAAATTTTCCTTGCTTGAGCAGTAGCTGTCCCCTCTGTAATCTTGCCTGAAATGAAATAGAAGGCAATTCTTTTCTATTTACACATTAGAACTCAAGGAATTATGAAAATCTGTTTCTATTACCTTTAGCAGAAGAAAATGATTTCATTTTACTGCAGCTAACAAGCTGAGTCAGAGACAACATCACCTGCTCTTTTGCCTTCCTAAACTAACAGCATTCTTAAGAGGCATCTGACAGTAAATAATTACTTTACACCACAGCTGAGAGAGATGCACTTTTCTAATAAATAGCAGTAACTCCAGACATCAGCAGAAGAACTTGTTCACTTTGTTTCGTACAACTTTTAGAACATTAACTTTCAGCTGCTTTCCTGGTTATAGCTTCTCACAGATTTGTTTTGAACCAACAGAAATAAATAATTTTTAAAATTTCCCACATTGAGTTCTTCCACTAAACTCTCAGAGCAACAGCCAGTACATATCAAGGCAAGTTAATGATCTATACGATTTGATTTATGATACAAATACAACACTGAATTTAACACTTGCTACTTTACTGGAAGTTATCCAGGACATGCTACTGAAAATGGAAATGAGGGAACTGGGTGGAGAGGACATTACCCAACTACTTAGACAGACTCTCTTCATATAATAAGCACAAAAGAGGTAAGAGTAAGTCAGGACTTGTCCCACGGGAGGGCAGTGAGACCAAGAGAGGAGAAATGCCTCAAATCAAGTAACAGGACAGAAGAGGGAAGAGGCATCTGCTCTCCCTTTCCCCACCCCTGAGAGAGCAGCAATGATAACTGAAAATGGAACAGCTGCAAAGGAGAGAAGGAAAGCATACAGGACAAACCCACGAGGAACATGCACTTAATGAAACCATTAGTTTCCAGAATAAGTCTAGACTGCTCTTGGAGTATTTGCAAATTCAAGTACATACACTACTGCTATTACTTTATCGTATTTAAAGCTCTGAGTTATAATGTATTTTCTATTTCTGTTTAGCAAAACCTGACAAACAACCTCCTTTGAAGTAATATTTCTTTTTTACGCTTGAACAGTTTCCAATTTCAAGAATACTTACGGATGTGAAGTCTTGCTTTAATTCAACCACTTTACTTAAATCACGAATTGCTGCTTTAGATTTGCCCATGGCTAAGTACACTGTGGCTCTTCTGTAATAAGCAATGTAGTTATCAGAGTCTCCCTCTGCAAGCAAATGAACAGCAATCAGAATACTGTCTCCAAAGTAACTGAACCTTTGGGTACAGCTGAACTGTAATGACTAAAAATATATTTCCTGAGTTTTAAGCCATTGGAAAAATTATATTTATCAATGAAACATTTTTTCCAAGTAATGTTATGCAGTTTAATTATTGCACAATAAAGATTAGTGAAACACAGTATATTCCAAATAACTTAGACTTGTAAAGGTGAAATATGCATATATTTTCAGCTTTGTACAAAAAAAAAAAAAAAAAAAAACAGCTCCTAAATACTTACCCTTTATCTCAAACTGCAGGCCTGCATTTGAAAGCATGTTAATTCATCATTGCCCATTTCATCGTATAAAAAGCAAACAAGTAATCCCCAAATGACCCATACGTTGGACCGATGTCATTACAGATGCACAAACCCTTTACATCACCCATTTAGACAGAAGCAACTCATTCCTTTAATATACGGTGGGCACCAACACCCTCTCTCAATGGCAGAGGAAAAACATGCACTACATAAAAACCTGCAGGCTAACTTCAAGGCCAATACGTGGTCTGCCAGTCAAGCTGGCAAGATCCTGCAATTTTAACATCCTTTAAACCCAGCACATGCACAAACATCACTACACAAAGGGAACATAAGCCTCTGAAAACACTACTTAAGTTCCTAATACTCCTCACCATGCAGTATTTCAAGTAGTGACAGTTACTGTAGGCTCTCAAGGAAAGGTAATTTAGATCACCCAAACAACAAAATGCAGTAAAAGACAGTAGACTATTTACTGGATTTCAAAAATATACTCCTTTTCACTATCAATGAAATTACAGACAATAAAACGCATCTAAGGAACAAAACAAGGATGTCCCTTGTTTACCACGTCCCTTGTTTACCTCATCTGAGATTACAGTTGAGCTTTAAAGTAAACATGTGGCCCTGGCAGCCACATAGAGGCCAAGGGAATAAAAGACCATTTCCATAGCACGAGGCACTGCCGTAGCACAGAAAAATAGACTCCCTTCACTCTCTGTACTTAAGAGAAGCTGATCTTACAGAACTAGGACAAAATACTAAGAGCTCAGAATCAGCAGATATTTCATTCTTTATACACTTCATTTTTATACCAAGACATTGATAGTAATGAGCTGTGCTACTGAGACTTTTCTGTCTAGCACCACGATTTTATTCACTTCAAAGAAAAAACAATGTGCTTGTAAATGAATGTATTACAACAAAGTCCAACAATTTAAAGCCCTCAATACGTGACCAAGAAAATACAGTGTTAATAAACACTGCTTTTTATTGGTGCTGTCTGTGTGCTTGTATTTCAATTCAAGGATGTGGACCATCAAACTTACTTGAAAATTTATAAATCAGAGTTGTTTCAACATAAACATCACTTTCTTCAAATACATACCTATAGCTGCATGAAAATGAGACAGAGCATCTGCCAGTTGTCCAGCAGCCAATAACTTCTTTCCCATTTCAAGCTGCTTTTCTACTTCGGCATTTATTCCACACTCAGCTCCTTCAAGAAAAACAAAGATTGATTTCTGAATGAGCAGTGTGATTATACAAAAGACATACAGAAATAATATGATCCACACAATAACCATCAGTACTGGTGCTGAAATGGAGATCCACATCTTCCCAAGCAAAATGTCTCTGTGGTGCAAGTTCTGATGCGAACAATTAAAGTTATCAATGCCCTTCCATTTAACTAGTGATATGAAATTCATATTCAAGCAATACGTTTTGGAAGAGACAGGTTTTCAGTTCAAAACTAAGGAATCGTTGCTGCTCTGTCACCAGGGAAAGAAGGCTGTCATGAAGGAAGGAGCTGATTTTTTAAGTCCGCGCTGCAGATACACCAATTCAGGCTCAGTGAAGAGACTGCCCAGAGAAGCTGTGGATGCCTCATCCCTGCAGGCGGTCAAGGTCAGCCTGGATGGAGACCTGGGCAGCCTGAGCTGGTGGCTGGCAGCTCTGCTCACAGCATGGGGTTGGAACTGGATGATTCTTAAGATCTTTCCCAACCCATAATCCTATTACTCTATGAATTGATCTTGAATTAAAACAAACAAACAAAAAAAACCAAAACAACAGCACCTTGACGCTATCTTACATTCTGAGTAAAAGCTACATTACCTAACTACATTAAAGATATCAAAATTTCTCACAGAAAGGTGATCAAGCAACAAAATATTTGTAATAAAAGAACCGTAATTTCTGAACATCAAGTCATCAGTATTTTAGAACTAAGACCTTTCAGCACCCAAGATCTTATTTTTCTTTTCTCGCTCTTCAGTACAGATCATAATTCTTTCATTTACACACTGTAAGGAAACTACTGAGCTGCCTATTAAAAAAAAAAATGTCTTCTGTATCCACTGAAAAAAGCTCTACCTGTTATTGGTAAGAACTCATATGACTGAATTCAAAGGCTTCAATGCTATCATTTGCTTTATAATCCCAATATTAAGCAAATTCCTCTAAGTTAATGAAAACAACTAATAAGCCCCGAATTCTTCTTGCTGTAGTTTAAATACATGAAGTTAAAAAGGTAACACTACTTATCATGTAGCCCATTTAGGGAATGGTTTTAAAATACATTTTAAAATCTATTCTGGGTGTTTTGCATAGGATACGAACAGTTTAGTTGACAATGATACAGAAGTATTTCTTGACAGCAAGTTTCCAATATACAGAGGTAGATGAGGTACACTTCAAGGCAGTCTTCATGTGAATATCGTTTTCATAAAAAAACAGACTGCTATTCTGTTTGGATTTTGCATCATGGGGATTTTTTTCCTGCTTTTAAAGCCTAAACCTTTCATCATCAACTTGTCCACCCATCATCTTTCAAGATGACATAAAGATTCCCACACGGTTGGATATGAAGCCTATAGCCAGAAGTAAATTGGCAACAAGTCAGATAATACCACAAGCAAACATGAAATGATCTCCCCACATAGAAACATCTGAAATCTTTCAAACTCAAGGAGCTGGATCCTAGAAGCAGGCTGTACGTTGCTCTCTGATACCCCTAACAAAGGCATTCAGGTTTCACAGAATCTCATGTTTTTTTTTACTGAGCATCCTTATTTCAGATTTAGGGACACCGGCACTGCCCTAAGAACAGCCTCCACCACAGGGCGTGCCTGTACTATTCAGAGCCTTTCATCTGCACAACGCTCGCTACAGTTCTACACTTACATAACACATTCATCAGGAGATCTTTCTCCTTGAAAACACTGAAGATGGTAACAGAAAAAAAAAAAAAAGGAAATGAGGCAAGTGACTGCTAATAGTAAGAAAAGCAGGAGTAACTTGAGTAGAGAATTAAGGCAAAGCAAAAACAACAACAGAAGTACAAGTGACTGCAGGTTCCTTGCCTGCAAAACAGAACTTGTTACTGGACTTGCATTAAAATCTGACCCTAAAAGCTGCTGAATGTGGAAAATCAATGGAGAGTCTCCAGCCTGTACAACCAGTGTAGCCACAAAGAAAATTGACATATACCACTAGTGCACTGAAACACTGCACAGACCTGATCATTATGCTGCTTTTTCATGTAACTATATGGCTTACGCATTTTTTGGCAGCATGCAAATGGTGGCTCTGAATCAGCTGCCCTAGCAGACAGCTGAGGAGCAGCACCAAGCAAAGGAGCCAGTGCTGCTGACCCTAAGGAACCAAATTCTGTGCATGGCATTTGGGCACCTCTTGTCTCCTCAGTCTGGGAAACACAAGAACCAACTCCAGCCAGTCTTTCCAGCAGACAGGTATCAGTCAGCCAGATACAGACAGCTCAGTACTACAGCTAGAAAAGCTAGCCTTGCTCCATCATGAAACTAACGATATGTCCAAGCATGCTATGTGAACACTTGCACTATTTTAACTTGGATATTATTATTCCTAAAAGGTGCCTGATGAGCTCAAACCAGCAGACACAGGAGCCCCAGCTGCTGGAGCATCAGTAGGAATAGGTTCAGAGCTTGAGCCAGCCCCAACACAGGAGTGGAAAGATGCACTCCCAACAAGAACTGGCACCAGTACTGACACCTGAAAGGAAAGAGGTCAGGAGGAAAGATTAACAGGTGCAGCTAACTCGTTTTTCCAGTTAAATATGTTCACTTCAAATAAATCACAGCTTCCTGGGAAGATTTTTGTTTTATTTCAGTAACAAGTGCTGTTACGTGCATATGAACTTCCAGTTACATTTTCATGTAATCAGTCTGACTCCTAATGTAAAAAGCTTTAAAAAGCCTTCCAACTTCAGAACAGTGTCAAAATTTTGCATTTACCCAGATTCCTGCCTTGGAATGGTACACTACTAAACTTTTCTTTTTCCATTTTAGCAGAGAACTTGAGTGATTGTTTTGCCACGGGAGGCAGCAATCCCGTTTTGGGATGGTTTCAATTTGAATGATTATGCGTTCAGTACAGGTGTCACGTTTGCTGCTGTTTTTAAATAGGTTTGAGCTTCAGTTTTGTATGCATGTAAGCAAGTTTCTCAATGACAAGTCTGAGCAAAGGAAGAAGGGGACAAGCAAACAGTGTCATAACTGACACAAACAAGCCTGGAAGAAGCCTCAGAGCACAGCAATGCTTCCCTCACCCCACACCACACAACTACCCTTCACAATTTCTGGTGAGATTCAAAACCTTCCCAAACTCAGAACAAAAAGATACGGAACGGGAGTGAGAAAAACACCTAACTGTACCCACAGTAATGAACTGAGCTCTGTATGCTTGAAACCCACTTCCCTTTATTCAGTTTCCTTTGTCTGAGGACAGAGCATGGAAAGAGAAACAATACCCCTCTATCCCTTCCAGTTGTCATGTTTTGTCACTATTAGTGTGCACAAGTCCTGAAAGATCAATCTTCTCAAGAGTCAACTCGTATCAAATGGGAAGGAATTCAAGAAGCAGGACAGGAAGGGGCAAAACACAACTTCCCACAACACCAAGGATTCAAAAAAATATTTCTAACTGAATTCATTTAATAGTCAGTCATAATTGCCCCATCCCTGGAGGCATTCAAGGCCAGGCTGAACATAGCTCTGGGCAGCCTGGTCTACTGGTTGCCAATCCTGCACACAGCAGGGGGGTTGAAACAAGATCACTGTGGTCCTTTTCAACTCAGGCCATTCTATGATTCTATGGTAATTCACACTCATAGATAATAACTAAAATCTGACTTTAATGCAGCCTGACTTATTCACTGCCTCACAAATTAACTGCCACAAGACATTTCTACAATCAAGTCAGCAAATGCCTCTGAGTTTAGAGAAAAGTAATACTGTGAGGAAAAAAAACAGAACTCTGAACTCCTTCATAACATTTTCAGGAAAACAAACTTCTGATTAAGGTGTTAACAAATTCAGTAAGCTCCAGAAATATCACTCCTCAGCCTACTACTCTATTCCAAAACTTCTATACTGAACTGAAGTTTCGAAAATATTCTCCAAATAACAAAACACAGCATTAATAATTCTATATAGCCTTTAAACTGCACACTTGAAACTGGTCAACAACACTGAGGAAAGAATCTTTAGAAGGAACATCGCTGTCACAATCAGAGAAAGAAGTATACGTGGACAGTGATGACTGTTTTTCCCCTAGCAGCACCTGAGCACACATCCAACAAAAACCATCCAACACCACAGAGGAGCACACCTGGACAGCAGGCTATCTTTGCCACCACATGCCCACATCACCTCTTGGCCAGCTGAATTATTCTTTAGTTTAGCACCTTAAGGAGCAAACTTCTAATAACAAGCCCAAGTCAGCCCTTAGTCTGGATACTTATCCTGAGCATTGATGGCTTCAGTTGCACCTTGACCTACCAGCACCTGTGAGAGAAAGTTCCTCAAGTTGAACTACCTGCACCACTGTATAACCAAGCTGCACATTTCACACAGCCTGAGAATAAGTTTGACTGCACAGGTGTTACTGATAGCGTACTCGAAAAGAAAACGAGGCCGCGGGAGGGGCGGATAAAACCGGTCTGCTGATTTTCACACACTAATGGGGAGGCAGAAGGAAAGCAAACGATCAAATAAAATATAAACAAGTTCACCACAACTACAAGAAGAATCGGCAAAGCTGCAGGTCGGGCACCGACAGAGGCAGAGAGCCGGGAACGCCCCGGGAGCCCAAATAGGGCACTTAAAGGGACGGAGCCGCGAGGAGCAGCGCTGGGGGACGCCGCCCGGGACGCGAGGCACGCACGGCGCCGCCAGGGCCCCGGCGAAGGGCCGCCCTACGCCCTCGGCCCGCTGAGGTGGCAGCTCCCGGCCTCCTCCTGCCCGGTGCCGTTCCCAGAAGCGCCCTCCCGCGGGACGCCCCGCCGCCACGGCGCTGCCAGCCACGGCTCTCCCGGCCCGGCCGCCGGGCTTCCCAGAAGCCTGCCGGCGGGTGGGCCCTACGCCGCCTGCCGCTTCTCACGACGCTTCCCCGCCCCCCTCACCCTGATACTGCAGGTCGAAGAGCACCAGCAGGAAGGGCAGCGCGGAGCCCAGGCGGCCAGCAGAGGCCGCGGCCGACACCATCGCCGCCGACACCCGCGGCCGCAGTGGCGGCGCCCCGGCCCGACGGCTCCGACTCGTGCAGGGAGGGTCGTGGGCGCCGCTGATTGGCCGCTCCGCGCCCGCCCGCCCCTTCGCGCTCCCGGAAGGTGGAAGTGCGCTGCAGGAAGGCGAGGCCGCCGTCGTCACGGCGCATGCGCAGTAGAGCAGCCGTCCTTCTGAATCGTCTCACCCGGCCTCTTCGGGCGGCGCGTGCGTTGGGGGCGGAGCGAAGCTGCCGCCCTCAGTCGGTGCCCTGAGTGGAGATGGCTGCTCCTGTGAGGGCTGCTTAAGCCGGTTAGCAAGCGTTTGCTGTCTCTGTGCCCGCTCCCTACTGTTGTAGGTGGGCTTCTCCTGGGGCAGGGGAGCTGGGGAAAACAGATTAAGCTTACGGCTGGCAATGCAGATGATTGCCGTTATCCGTCCTGGCTTGAAGGCGGTATGTCAGGGCTGCTCGTATTCTACATCAGCAAGCAATAACGCACAGGTAAATTGATGCTGTCTCTTCATTGCTGAGAGAAGCGAGCATGTTTTCAAACTATAGCTTTTACCGTCCCTGGGGCACAATCCAGTTTTCTACCGAAGTGGGGCGCTGCTAAGAGGGTCAGCATGCACACACTACTACGGAACTTACCGAACTGTAGAAAAATCAGTGATGTGACTGAACAGAGCACAGTGTTCTCGTGGTAGGAGTTCATTCTTGACCTGTACACTGAAACTAAAACCTGTGTGAGATAGCTTGCAGTCTAACAGGCTTATGTTTGGAGACATTTTCCCTTTTTTCCACAATTAAAACGCGTGTTTTCTTAGTAGAGAGAAGCTAACGGTGTATGTGCCAAGTTGCTTGTTGTTTCAAGTTATCTGCTGTGCGTTGTTGGACAAACAATTCATTTTGGGGTGTATTATATAATGTTAAAGCCTACCTATGCTTAAAAATAAAAATATAGTTCTCACGAATTCTGCTAAGCAAATGACAAAGCTGAGTCTCAGAGTCTGATGCAGCAACCACAAATTTCCTTTTTCTTTCTGGTCACATTGCTCTTTTCACCCTAGATGGTGTAATCTGCAAGCTTTCTTGAAAGATGAGAATGAATAAGAGAAAAGCAAGTTATCCCACTCCAACATCTCATTTGTAAGATGGTGCTTCAAGAGTACCACCTTGAAACTTGACCTGCAGAAAATATTCAGAAATAAGACGTAGAAATAATAGGAGAAGTGATAGATGTGAAATGAATAATTGATGATGTTCTGAAGATGTCAGTATGAGCTGGAATTTGACAACTCTTGCACTACGGATAAGACAATATAAGAAAGCTTAAAAATGAACCAACCAGAATATAATAGCTGTTACAGTATTCTACCCAAGAAAATAATGTAACCAAAGCCATATAAAATTAGTACAGCGGGGCAATTAGCACCTCAAGCCCCTAAGATAACCAAAAATATAATCATAAATGATGGTTTACTTAATAGGCCCTCAATTACAAGATTAGCGGAAGAATTTCCAGGGAACTACAGGCCTGTTAGCCTGACCTCGGTGCCAGGGAAGGTTATGGAGCAGATTGTCTTGAGGGAGATCATGCAGCATGTGCGGGGTGACCGGGGGATCAGGCCTAGCCAGCATGGGTTCGTGAAGGGCAGGTCCTGTTTGACCAACCTGATCTCCTTCTATGATCTAGTGACCCATCTGGTGGATGAGGGAAAGGCTGTTGATGTGGTCTACCTAGACTTCAGCAAAGCCTTTGACACTGTCTCCCACAGCATTCTCCTGCAGAAGCTGGCAGCCAGAGGCTTGGATGGGTGCACTCTTGGCTGGGTAAGGAGCTGGATGGAGGGCCGGGCACAGAGAGTGGTGAATGGAGTCAAATCCAGCTGGCAACCGGTCGTGAGTGGTGTTCCCCAGGGGTCGGTGCTGGGGCCTGTCCTCTTCAGTATCTTTATTGATGACCTCGATGAGGGCACTGAGTGCACCCTCAGTAAATTCGCAGATGACACCAAATTGGCTGGAAGTGTGGATCTGCCTGGGAGTAGCGAGGCCACACAGAGGTATCTGGACAGGCTGGAGAGCTGGGCTGAAGCCAATAGGATGAGTTTCAACAAGGCCAAATGCCGGGTCCTGCACTTCAGCTACAACAACCCCAGGCGACGCTACAGGCTTGGGGCAGTGTGGCTGGAGGACTGCGTGGAGGAAATGGACCTGGGGGTATTGATTGATGCTCAGCTGAACATGAGCCGACAGTGTGCCCAGGTGGCCAAGAAGGCCAATGGCATCCTGGCTTGCATCAGAAACAGTGTTGCAAGCAGGAGCAGAGAGGTGATTGTTCCCCTGTACTCAGCACTGGTGAGGCCACTGGTGAGGTGTGTCCTCACCACTGGTGAGGTGTGTCCAGTTTTGGGCCCCTCACTGCAACAAAGACATTGAGGCCCTGGAACGTGTTCAAAGGAGGGCAACAAAGCTGGTGAGGGGTCTGGAACACAGGCCATATGAGGAGAGGCTGAAGGAGCTGGGAATGTTCAGCCTGGAGAAGAGGAGGCTCAGGGGAGACCTCATTGCTCTCTATAACTTCCTGAAGGGAGGTTGTAGTGAGCTGGGGGTCGGCCTCTTCTCTCGTGTCATCAGTGATAGGACCAGAGGAAATGGCTTCAAGCTACGGCAGGGGAGATTCAGGCTGGACATGAGGAAGTATTACTTCTCAGAAAGGGTGGTCAGGCACTGGAATGGACTGCCCAGGGAGGTGGTGGATGGAGTCACCGAGCCTGGGGGTGTTCAAGGAAAGGCTGGATGTTGTGCTGAGGGACATGGTTTAGTGGGAGTTGTTGGTAATAGGTGAATGGTTGGACTGGATGATCTTTTAGGTCTTTTCCAACCTTGGTGATTCTATGATTCTATGATAATAGCAACAATCTGAAATAAAACTCAGTATTTAATGCTGGAATACCAAGCACAAAGGTTCAAATCCCTTAAGACAAGACAAAAGTACTATGACGAAAGTATCAAATAGCATTTTGGATAGATGCTTGACGAGCATGTATTGGAAGGTCAATATTTCAGGTTGATACAGTAATGTTAAGAGCAGTGTGTAATGCCAACAGTACTGAATGATGTAGTCAAAGTAAAACTGTTTGTCTGTGATACAAATCTCATCAGGCACACAGATGCCTACACATTAATTCTTGAATGAAACCATAAACCATGTAGGAACATTCTTGATGGTCATACATCCCAAAACATTTATAGTTAAATTAAAATGTATCTATAGACTTGAGAGAAAAAAGAATATATCTTTAACACATACTCTCTTTAGCAACTTCAGAAGCTGACAGTGCAAGAGAGGAAAAAAAAAAGACTGGTGCACATGACATGAACATTATGTTCTGGAATTTGAAAAATAGCAGAGCAACACAACTGTAATGCAAAAAGTCTTTTAAAACGATTAATCAAAATTAGGCTGGCATCAGAAGCAAGTTTCTGTAGCAGTTTTGGAGCAGATGGCAAAGACAAAACTAAGTTTAAAGACAAGGAATTTTCTGTTACTGCTGGTGATACATGGAGAAACAGCAGAGGGCATCCACTAGCAAGGGATGACTTCTTAAGTCACTCATTGCTGTTTAAAAGGCAGGTGAACAGAATGGAGCGACATGGTGTAGGGATATTGTTAAGTTTATATTTCTGCTTATTAACTGAGAAACCTACTGAGATATCATAAGATACTGATACATTACACACAAGAACACACAGCGTACTGGAAGGACCCTGCTCAATACCCATGAGCAAATATGCTTGACAATTAATGTTTTAATTAGTAACTCTGTTTCCAGAAACACTCAAGCAAACCAAACCATTTCCCGATGCAGGGGAAGAGGCAGTATGGCAGCTGTTACCTTATATACACAGTCTAGTATGAAATTATAGGTATGGAAATATAGGAGAGAGAAGATGGTAACAGAGATGCTATTCTCAAGGCCTTCTTGCAAGAAATCTCTGAGACTTTATACCTTGTTTTTATTTTCATCTGTTCACATCTCCACCAGAAACTTGGAGCTAAATGAGATAGTAGTAGTATCCACATATATGGATAACAAAGAATTGCTGTTTATGTAGCCACCTGTTCTAGTAGTTCTGTATTTTTACATTTGGATTGGTATTTAAATGTGATTGCTTTAGAGCTATTTCTTTTCTAGGTCCTTTTGCAGCAAATGGAAGCAGAGAAGCTCCTACAGACTGCAGTTCCACACACAAAGTTGTCTGAACTTCCACTTGGAAAAGCATATCTTCATCCATAAACTTGAAAGGGAACATGAGGGACCACTCTTCTTTAGGGTAAGGTTAGCCTCTGTAAATGCTTTTCCCTCCATATTGCCCTAACAAAATTCCACAGGTATGTCTTTGGCACATCTGTGATGGGAGAACCATGTTTCTGGAGTGGAATTATTTAGTTCTCAACCTTGTGGTTAGATGTTATATCTATATACTAGCTACTACCCGCTTTTTATACTGCTATAAAGAAGCTTTTTATAGGTCATTTTATAGGTCATTTTGTCTCTTTTTATGTGAAGCTTATTTTAATATGGGTCCTTGAGTCTGATTTACTCACTAAACTATACCACAGTGGTTAATTATAAACAGGGTTGTAGGACAGATGTTGGAAAAGGGAATAAGACATGCATGTTTCCTTACAATTAATTTTAAATGTATTTTAATCAGGGGAATTATACCATGTCTGTAACTTTTCTCCCTAGCCATGGTAGCAGCAACAAATTCCAGATATCTCAAAATGCAGTCACTATCTCCTGCCTAACTTAAACTTCTGGTATAATGAAGCATCAAACGGGGCAGGAGAGACTAGAGATCCCCTATTACTCTTTACCTTGACATCTTAGATTCCCAGTAAGAGTTAGATGAGTAGCAGATACTTTTGTGGGGTTTATTTTGAACAAGAAATATTCCAGTAGCAATTCATATTTAAACTTAATTTAAAATTGAAACAATTAAACCTGAGTTGTATTTTTCAAGTCTTTTGATTCCAGACAAAAACTCACTCTTGTGGATTTTTGAT